ATATATATATATATATATATATATATATATATATATATATATATATATATATATATATATATATATATATATATCGTCACAAACAGAACTGCCCGATAGACCGTAGGCAGATAGAGAGAAGAGGACAACAAACGAGGGGCTGTGACAAACTCTTTCGTCGGAGTTTCACCAACTCATATATATATATATATATATATATATATATATATATGTATATATATATATACAGGGTCACCAGCCCGTACGTACGGAGGTCGCCGGGCAGACCTCCGTGCGTACGGGCGTTCGGGGTCCTGTATGGTATCCGAACCCGACGGCGTTCGGCCCCCGCCAAAACTTATTTCGGAGCCTACAAATAATTATTTTTTCTGAATGTTTTTTTGTGACTTCTCTATGACGCGCGGTACATGCCTGTTAATTTTCAAATCATTTGGCTAAGCCAAATAAGAATTAAAAATCTCCAAAGATGGCGATGTCAAAACATGCCCGCCCACGTATTTTTTCACTTTTTACTTTTTGTTTTCACTCTGTCTCTCCTCTTTCTCTCTCTCTCTCTCTCTCTCCTGTCCCTCTTCTCGCTTGCGAAACGCATGCCGACCGTAGCAACGGAGTTGGCAGCGCTCTCCGCTCGAACGCGCAGCACAGAAGTGAGCCCCGTTCAAACGGTGCTGCTACTTATGTAGCCCAGCAACGCGACGCACGGGCAAGTGCCTTTTTTTTTTTTTTTTTTTTTTTAGGGCCCACTGTAGCCTGGACCCCCACCACAGGCTCCTGAACACTGCCGCCAGTCCCCGTGGGGCCTCCCGCACCCCGCACACGCCCCTGTGCAAACGCGTCAATCGTGTTTACTGGCGTTCATTGAATGCATGTTCAGCTCGTTCGAAACCTGAACGCGAAACCCGCGCGAGGTAACACAGAATAAGCGGGCACTAGACTATCACGTGCCCTCTAGGCCACACTTAAGGCACAAGCGGTTGTCCATCTTGGACTGCCATTCCTCACGAGTCATATTCATGTTCTCCCAAGGCCTCCCGAACGCAATGTCAGGATGCTCGGGAAACGAGCGTGACCTCTTCTTCTTCTTCCACTGACTTTGGCCTCCCTTGTTGGCCATTACGGCAGCGACGTCACCCTTCCCGGACTCGCTGCCGCCATTACCTCCTCCTCCCTCAGACTCATCGAGGGGTAACTTCTCCACAGTCTCATCATGAAATAACACGAGCATATGGTTCTGACACTTCTCCCGCCAAAGGACCCGCTTGCCATAACCTCCCCCTGGTCCCGACTTAACCACCAAAGCGTAAGACCCTTTTACCTGCGCGGTTATCTGCTCTCGTTGGAGAGCGAGATCGAGAAATTGTCGATCGTTATACTTACCCGACTTCGACTCGGCCACGAG